CTTCTTTGTAAAGAGAAAAATAAGATCCTTGTTTGCCTTGTCTTCAGCTATAAGCCTCTTGGGGTCCATTTTGGCATGCAGCTGTGTTGTAAGATAGAGCAGTAAGCAGAAGCAAGGACAGGAGAGGTTACTGAAGTTCAAGTGTGTGAAATATTGTGAACTTTTTGTTTTTTCTAGGATGGCCCTCTCCTCAGAATCTTCTGTATTTACATTTTTCTACAAAGGGTGGTGGTGTGGTTTAGTTGCCAATAGTACATGAACACTGATTTAAACCAAAAAAAACCCCAAAATAAACTAAAACAAACACACACACACACACTAAATAGTTCTAGAATTTTTCCTTTAATATGGAATATGCAGCCCACCTTGAGCTGTCTCAAGACAAAGTTGCACTAAACTGTAATGAGCTTATGAATATAAATCTTCAGTCGTACAACAGCAGAATTAGAAGTTAGGAATGTGGCTCATACTGCGTCATCACAAAGTGATTTACTGTGTTCACTGTACAGCAAAATATGTTTGTGACTAACCCCCTTGGTTTGTTCAAAGCTGTGCTCTGATCAGCCCCCTAAGCATCTTAACAGTGGTGGCACCAAATTCTGATACAAGTACAGTCTTTTGCACAAAGAAGCAGTCCTTTGGGCACTGCCATATGAAATGCAGGGAGTGGAATTAGATTTTCTCTGAGTAAAGGGACAATGAAAACAAGACAAATAGATAAGGGCTATGAGTTTTAGGCCCTTTCCCAGCATCTGCTATGCAGCTATGTAAATAACAGATACCTGGGATACTCTCAGATTGAAAGCCCTATCAAGTTCTTAAACTTAAACATGTTCCCTTCAAACTTGTCTTCCTGTGATCCATAGTGTCATTGGTTCAAAAAAGCATTTACTAAATTAGACTACAAAATGATATTTAGCAAATTCTTGAATGAAATCCATTTATTTTGGCAGTTGATGCATGGTATAGAGCTGGCTTTGATTTGTTCTGGGAGTGCTCTTTTGTTCATGTTATCCTGAGACCTATACAATACTTTATGATAATACATTAAATACAACAACTAGGATTTGCTATTTTTTTGTCCTTTGGTTGAGCATCAAGAGCAGAAGCACATCTTCTATAATATAGTGTGACAGTAGATTTTGTGCTGAGAGGCACAAATTCTTGCATAACATAGAAGACAGAAATAACTATATCTGTAGATGACAAGGATTTCTTATGAGATTCCAACTTTTAATCTTTTGGTCTAAAGTATTTTTGTTTTCAGGTATTTTTGTTACATCTAAATATTCCTCATTAAAAATACCTGCAAGAAAAAACCTTCCTGCCTGGTTGTTTTTGCATCTAAAAATATGCAAAGGAAAAATAATCCCAGGATGGTCTTGAGTTGCATGACCTTTCTGCTTTTTCCGAGATAATACCTTTTAAAAAATAATAGCTCTATATCTTTCTCCAAATCATTAATAAAACTGGAATAATAGTAGTGTGTTTTGTTTTGTTTTGTTTTTCTTCTAGGATTCCCCAGAATTTGATTTACTATTTGAAAATGCTTTTGACCAATGGGTAGCAAGCACAGCTTCAGAAAAATGCACATTCTTTCAGGTTTTACATCACACTTGCCAGCGCTACCTTACCGACAAGAAGCCAGAATTTATCAATTGCCAATCTAAAATTATGGGAGGTAAGTATGGAGGTAAATTATGGGAGGAAGCTGGAGTACGTTGTGCAGTTGGACACAAAATGATTTGCACGTGAGTTATTCTGTGTTCAAATGGGTTTGCAGCCTAATTACATCTTGAAATTGCGGGTCTGAATATACTAATTTCACAGTAGTGAACTTCTAGGCTTCAGCATTTCTCCATCAAGCACCAGTTCACGCTTTTCCACTATCTTTGCTTCCCTAGTCTTCAACATCCCCTACCCACCTTCTGAGTAGTCGTTCTCCTCCTTTTTAGCAACCTTGATTTGTATTTGTCTCTCTACTTTTGTTCATCTGGGTGGCCTGAAGTATTTCCTACTAACAGCCTGTTCTGCATTGGTATTTCCTCACAAGTCTGTGAAAAAGAGGTTAGTACTAAACTTGCCATGGCTTTTTTGGAATTGACTTTGATCTTGACAGAAATCAGTTAGTTTAGAGTTGTGTTATGTTTCATAAGTCACATATCTTAAGGTGAATTTCTAGGATTAGACTAAAAAAGTCTGGCTAGGTAAAAAAAAGTCTGGCCAATATGTGAAATTGGCATTTACCATCTGCTTCCCAAGCAACGAAAAGTTTTTTTTGGGAGGATTTTCATGTATTTCATGAAGTATTCTTTAGGAAAATAAGCTGGTTTAGTTGTTCCCTTGGACTAGTGTCCTTTTTGTCTGCTCTAAACTAGAACACTTCAAAACTCTTACATCTCCTGTGTTCTGCACAGCTGGAATAAAAAAAATTGTTTTTCTCAGTGAGTTTCCAAACTGTAGAAGAGAAGTGTAAGCTGGCTTGGGGTTTTGTTCAGTAGTTGTATCTTCCCCCCAGTAGACATCAGTTATAAATATGGAGAGCCTTACTCAGTTCTTTATAGTAATCCTCCACTCTCATAAATCTAGAATATGTTCCTGTGCACTATTACCAGAACTATATTTTCTGCAGCCACCTTTGTATGTTCTTTTTTCTGGCTGTTATTTTATCTTGCACCTCTTTCCTTTAAAACACTTGAGGAAGGTGGAAATCATCTGCAGTCTGGTGCCTACATTTTAGCTACTGGTATTGAGGTTGCCACTAACTTTGCAGTGATAAGTCAGGAGTGTTTCTGCCAATTGTCCTTTTCTTTTAGTGTCTTCTCAAACTAAGAAAAAAGCCAGAAAATTTCTTGTAAACTTCCTTTCTTGTTTTTTTTTCCCCTTGCACATTGATATGATTTCCATTGTTTTCTTTTTGGCGTGGTGGGAATGAGGGAGGAGCAGTTTCTGCACTGCTGGGAAAAGATACCCTCTACAATTTTTCCATTTCATATGGAAGAAATGTCATATCAAGCCTTTGGTTGTCACCTGTTTGCCAACAATGCTCACTTCCTTCCTTCCTGCTAATAAGTCAGTGTTAATGAACTGCCACACATTTCAGACTCTGAAATGATTTTATTCTCATAAGCTTGACCTGTCCAAAATTGAGTTCCTGATTCAACTGACCCAAATATTAACCTTTTCCCTATACAAGTGTGGGGGAAAAAAAATTGCCACTGAGGTTCGTAAACTTCTAATTGACTTCTACTTTTTCAACACACACTACACCCTACCAGTCCCATGAAGCATACCCGCATTTTCTGTTTACAACTTCATAGCTAAAATGGGCTTATTCAGCCATCCTCCCATTCCAGATGGTAGCTGTTTCCATATTCTTTGTCTGTTATTCTGACTGTGCACAGGTGCAGTCTGTGAGTGTACAGGCTACGGATGTGGTACAAGGTGAGGGACTAATAAATCTCCTCATGGATACAGTGCTTCTGCTGTTCTTCACGCTGTCAACTTTTTCCTCATACCGGGTTACAGACTTCCTATGGATAAGTTTAAATTTGACAGAAACTATAACAACTATAAACCAAATAATAGTTGACCCTACATCCCAGTGACTTGCTGCGTGTCAGCCTCAGTGAGCAATGGGAAACCTACCAAAGTTTTAAAAAAAAAATAATATATATATAAAAAAAAATCCTCATTAAAAAATAACCGGTATCAAAATTATAAAAGGCAATGCAATCATATTATTGGAAATCATCGTGTAATACGTGAAGTGCAATAGTCTGCTTAAACATCTGCTTTTCCTTTCAAATTTTACATCGATATTCTTAATGCAACACTAAATTCTCTACAGAAATACTGTATCTATACTATAATTGCAAGCTTTATTGTTATGTTCATGCATACAGATAAATACTTACTCAGTTCCAAAAGCATTGTGCTAGCACCCATGCTGGTATTTCTTGAAAATATAGCTAATTAATTATGAAAAAATAGATTAAATTAGCTTTTCAAACTAAATTTGAGTTGTGGAAAAATTATTTTTCCTGCTATGTTGTTTAGCATTTTTCCTAATACTCTAGTATACATGGGAATATATTTCTCTAATGTTTCCACCTTGTTCAAAAGGTTTTGCATTACTTTATATTTAAATATATTTATCTAGTGGAGCCATGCTTCCTCCACTCATTAAAAATAAATAACTGTTACAGCAGCTTTGAAATATATCCCAATTATAGGCAGGTCTCCTTGGTAATATGTAGTTCTGTGAAGTTAGTTCAGTCACTGGGTTATGTTAGTTGGCCTTACTTTGAGGCAAATGGAGTAATTAAGTGATCAGAAGCAGCAGCGTTCATTGACTTGAGAAGCTGTTCTATGAGTTGGTAGTTGGCAGGCTCAGACACTGGGGAGGTACCTGTGGTTCTGCTAGTCCTCCTTTGAAGCCTGGGGATGGGCCAGCTGTATATCAAACCCCATTTAGTCTGAAACCTGCTATGTCAGCGTTTTTTATGGAAAATGTGGTTTTGATCCTAACTGGAAAAAGTAAGATCCAACTGTAGCTGAGCAAACCAAAAAACATGTGCCTCACGATATAGCTTGAAATTAATTAAAATCAGTTCAGAACTTGCAGCTTGGGTTTTTTTTTGTTGCTATTGTTTTGTTGGAGTATTTTGCTAATTAGCCAGAGCAGTATACTAAAATAATTTTTAAACCTTAGTGCGGTCAGATTTTAGATGAAGCATGTCACTTCATCCCTTCTACAAAGGTAGCGTTTATGTTTTAAGTGATATTCTTTTGAACTTCCTGGGGGATGTAAAAAGTAATATTCTTTTTGCATGGTTAGTCAGTTTGACTTCTAATACCCTGCAAGTATTTTTTTAAAATAAATTATTAGAATATATATGCATACACCCACATGCTTATGTATGTTATGATATAGTAATGCACATCATATATGTAGTGTGTATCTTGTAGCTAATGCATATTTTCAAAAACAGACAAAAAAAGCCACAAAGAACAGTTCTTCCCAAGTGGAACTAAAGACAAAAGAACTTGAAGGGCTTGTTTACAAGCTTACTTATCTTATTGAGCCTTATTCCTTCCTAAAGGATAGGAGTGAAGAAAGTGAAATTCATGCCGCTCTTGTTTCTGCAGGAAGTGCTTAGGAGCTTAGCCGTAAGTAAATACGGGTGTCCCTGTGGAACTGCAGCCCCTCTTCATTGCCTTCCTCCTTTTGCCTTCCCACCTACTTCCCCCTACGGGCCACAGCCCTGCTCCGTATTCCACTATTCTACTCCAGAACCATTTTTTGCTTTCTTTTCATTTGAGTATCATGTAAGGATATAGTCTGCGGAGTTAAATAGGCTAGACTGTTTTCTGTAACTTGATTAATGACATCAGTAATTACAGCGATAATGAGAACTGATTAAAGGTGTGGGTGCTAATTCTGAGAACAAAGAACAAAATCAGGAAGACTGTAACAAGATTCCTCCCACTAGTACCTTGTACTAAATATTTCAAGTTTGTCTTTTGTTTAGATTTTAGAAGAGGCCTCTCCAGAGCTTAGATATGTTCTGGATGTTATTTTGGAGAGGAAAGGCAAGGCAGGCATTTAGAGGTAGAGGGCTTTTTGACTGAAGTAGGAAATATTTTCCACTTCTCTATCTTTCTAACATATGGCTTCTGATACTGGAATATGTCTAATTTGGAGTATGTTTGTGTTACATTAATCGTTATTCAGTGGCTAAATTATTCATATTGTATTGCTTTTACATCAGTAATGTAAACAACAAAGTTGGACATGAGTGGCGTGCAGAAATTTTGTTGTCTACAGGTTGTGTTCGTTAGAACAACTTAATTATTGACGTAATGTTAGGCTGGCACTGAGGATGAATTTGGCTCTCATTTCTGGATAGAACCCTGTGGTACAGCATTTGAAGCTCTTCAAATCTTAACTCTGGGCCTGAAAGGATAAACAGTTGCTGCCACCTTTAGTTACATATTAGAAATGGGTGATCCTTGGAAAGGAGTGAGACCTCAGACTGAAGGAAGATCATGATTTTGTGATTTTTGTTGTTGTTGTTTTAGTTTGGGGGGGTTTTTTTTGTTGTTGTTTTAAGCTTTCTCCTACCTTTATGCTTTAGTTTTAACAGACATTCTGCTGAATTAATTAAAATATTCTTAGAAGCCCAAAGTAATCACATCTTTGCCTTCGTAACCTTTTCTCTAGGACAACTGGCAGGAGTTATTAATGGATCATTCTTTTTCTCCTCCAAGAATATATTGCCAGTGTGAGAATGGCAATGAGTACTTCTTTTTTCATATGCTGTTTACTCATCTTAGCTTACCACATTTGAGACCTGGTAAGCATATAGTGGTGCTTACCATACTGTGCAAGATTAATGACTGACTAAAGGACATGAACAAAAACTTGCTATTAGGAATTAGGATGGGAAGAAAGACAATTGCTCCTCTCCCTCCTGTCAAATACTTGGTAGTTGTTGGTTTCAATTCTTACCTGACAGCCATTGGAAGAAGTGTGTAATTGAACATATCATTCTTACAGACTGTTACTTGTAAATTAATTCTGATGCAAATGAATTTGACACCAAAAAAAAAAAAGATATCTACCATGTTATTTTGGCAATGTTTTGCCATTTTAAAATTACCAATCAGATGAATCTT